GCTGGATATAGCTGGTTTTGGCTGGACTCCCAGCTTGGCTAGGCTGGTCAAGCTGGTTTTAGCTGGTCATCTCCCAGTCTGTCCAGCTAAGACCAGGCTGGAAATGGCTGGAAACCTGCCTGGAAGTGGCCAAAACCCCTCTAAAACCAGCCTGGTCGACCAGCTAAAACCAGCCAGTTTCAGGAACTAAAGACCAGAAACTGTGTATCATGCTGTTTTTTGCTGTTTTTTTCAGCACAATGTGTCTTCATTTATCGATATCAAGCAGACAATATCTTCCGCTCTCAAAGTCAAACACCTAACAACGCTAATGCTAATTAGCCTCGTAATATGGATTTGACCAAGCAGCCAGAGTGTGTCGTTTACTAATTGAGCTAGCACGGTTTAATAAATGTGGTCGCGCTGAGAGGACGATTATAAATCACCAGAAACAAAAGCGGCTCCAGGCAGTCAAACGTCACCAAAGCCTAGCGGGAGCAAATCGGCTAATTAGCTTGCAGGCTAAACAACATTCATCAGGGCTTGACAACATTAGCAGCTACGCTAATGGACAAACTGCAGCCATAAATCCTGGAGGGACAAATCAGTTGTGTGCAGGGCTGGCCCTGTACATTTGGGGGCCCTAAGCAGAATAATTTTGGGGCCTCACCTTTGGAGCTTTAAATAGTGGAGCTTTGAAGCAACAGTGCTAATCACTAAGCCACTGTGTCACCCTGTTTATTTTGGGAAGGGGAAAAAAATTAAGAAGCAATTTAAAATTGGTGCTTTTATTTTATGTATATTTAAGATGTTGTACAGTCAAAGTGCTAACAAACATCAATGGCTTTTACACAGTTTTGGGACACCACTAGTAATACTTTACAGTAACTACAACAGCAGAGTGAATGTTCCACTACAAAACTTGAATCTGAAACTCATCCAGATGCAAAACCACAATAACAAGAAGAAACACAGAAGCCCAGATGTGCTTCTGACACTCCTCCTTTCTGTCTTTCTCTCTCTGGGCTTAAAAGCAAATTAGAGAAACCTGATATCTTATGATCAACTTTATCATGAACCCTGCCTCCCGTTATTCAAAACATTCAACAAAGCATATTCAAAAACGGCTCAGCGTTTGAGATCACGAAATGACATGACGGCTGCAGAAAGGGCCACATTTGCCACTAAACACAGAGCAAACTGTGAAACACATACAGCTGATCACACAATCAATAACTAATTATTACTAATAAAACTGCAATGTGGTCAATAGTTGTTGTTTTTTTACATACAAACACATGAAATCGTGTAATAACCTAGAAAATTCTTGAAAGCCAAACGTCTCACGACATGAAGATTTTTCTGATGGCTTACTCACACTATGCCATCCGTACCGTGCCCAGGCCCGTTTCCCGGATCGTTTGAGAAGTGTGAGTGCGCTGAATCGGGCTCAGGCACGGTTCACTTGGCCGGCCCTGGCCCTGTTGGAAGAGGTGTGCCTGAGTGTGGTTCACTTGAGCTTTGTGTGTGAGTGCAAAACGCGCCAAAGCCCAAAACTGAAAGCGAGACATGACTTTTAAGGCACTGTTTCATATGGATTTATTAATCATTCTTACTGTTCAGTGAACGCATACTGCCGTAGTTTATTAAAGACGCAAACCCCTCACTGCACATCAGCTGCGCGCCTTTAGCAGACCTCCTCATTCCTGCAGCACGAGAGCTTTATGATTGTTTTTGAGCGCCAAAAGTGGCGGATCTGTTCAGCGAAATATCTGACTGCATGTCACCGCATCCCTAAGGACTGTTTGGCAAAATATTTGATTGCATGTCACTGCATATCAAACGACTGACACGATATGACTAGAGAAATCTCCACTGTGCTGCTGAGTGAGAGAGTGCTTCTCACTGAACAGCGCAGTAGCGATGACGTAAGCGTGCCGAGGCCCATTTGTAGTGTGAGTGCGGGCCGTCGGGGGAGACAGGAGGGGGACAAGCGTGCTTTGGCCCGGTTGGAGGCAACTGTACCTAGTGTGAGTACGGCCTGAGACTATGGGCCCTATCATACACCTGGCGCAATTGGGCACAAGGAGCGACGCAATAGTTGTTTGCTAGTTTCAGCTCCACGCAAGAGTCGTTTTGAGGTTTTGCAGCTCACTGTTTAAATAGCAAATTTGACGGACTTTGTAAGAGGAAAAACAGTTGGGTCCTCATATGTGCACCTAAAGGCGTTCATCTCTAAATAAGGAGGCGTGTTGAGGCGCATTACTGGCGCGTTGCTATTTTGAGAAACCAGAATAGACTGTTTAAAAGATCAGCTTAGAGGAGGTCTAAAGTCCAGCGCAGAGGGCGTTAGTTTAGACCATATGGGGCACAGCATGGGTATTTGGAAATAACTTTTTGTGCACACTTCTTTATATTGTTTATTTATTCGATTGCTGGAAATTAGAACTGAATTTAGATTTAGAAATTTAGAAACTTAGAAATAGTTTTGAAACAAATCTTTGCATTTATTAACGAAATTAATTTTTTATAGGCTAATGGATGTCTGTGTGTGCAACATGTTTCCCTATCCACGAGAGTAAAAGTGAAAGTAAAGAATGAGGAGGCTCATCTCTCATTCTCGTGCCGCAGATTTAACTGTTTTCCACTTACAAAGTCCGTCAAGTAAATAGCATATGAGCTTATGGCGCGACGCTACTGGCTCTTAAAAGGAATAGGAGACGAGACTCTTGATTGGTTTATTCTCAAAACACACCTATAACTCATTAAGAGAATAAGCTCAACCCTGTTAGACCATGCGCCACAGCGCAAAGTGGATTTTTCCATCCTTAAAATAGCAAAAGTGGATTCAGACGCTTTGGACTTTGCAAATGGATCGTCAAAACAGAGCCCTATATTTGTGTCCTCAGAGGCACTTTTTTAAAAAAAAAAACCTTCCCAAACTAAAACAGTAACAGCTGCTGAATAATTTGGTCTACATTCTCAGTTTAGCTATCTTTGGAAAGATGAGGCTTTGGGCTTTACTATGCACCATGCAAAGTTTTAAATGCTCAAAACAAACAAAGTTATTAAAGCTGTAATAAAGTCTTCCAGTTGAGTTCTCTTTTCACACTGAAATTCAAATGAGAGAGAGAGAGAGAGAGAGTGATCGACGTCTCTCTGTAATATTAAAGCAGATTTTGGACTCACCCTGTCTTTATCATCAGCTACATCACACAGCACATCATCCAGGTCCAAAATGCCTCCGTCTCCGTGTTCTAGCCGATGAACCTGTATCCAGTAGCCCGGGTCCTGAAACAGACGGAGAGACCGAGTACATTCAGACTGTTTTTAAGTGAAATCTGATAAATTAATTCATTGTACTTCAGATTAGTCCCTTATTTATCAGGGGTCACCACAGCGGAATGAACCACCAACTATTCCGCATATGTTTTACGCAGAGGATGCCCTTCCAGCCACAATCCAGTACTGGGAAACACCCATACACACTCATTTAAACACACACTCATACACTACAGCCAATTTTGTTTACCTAATTCAAACTCCAAACAATGCCAACTGGCCCAGCGGGGACTCGAACCAGTGGCCTTCTTGCTGTGAGGTGCTTACCTCTGAGGCACCAGTGAAATGTGATCCAGGACAACAAATACAGTCATAAGGGTCAGTTTTTAATTCATTAATTATATGAAACCTGAACAACTTTCCACCAATGTATGGTTTGTTAGAAAAACTCAACAACATTTGGACCAGATACAATATTCAAAAATATGCAAACTGAGGATTTAAAAACATCTAAATATTGAGAAAAATCACTCAATATAGATGTATTTACTGAAGGACATTTACAAATATGGATGTCGGATGAATTACAGGGGTGAGTGGATGGGTGGATAAATGGATTGATGTGTGGGTGGAAAGATGGATGAACGTGTAGATGAATGGATGTTTATGGATAGATTGATGTGTGGGTGCATGAGGTATGGATGGGTGGGTGTGTGAATGGATGTGAGGATGGGTGGATGGGTTATTGTGTGAATGAATGGATGTGAGGGTAGGTCAGTGGTTGGGTGGATGGATGGATGGATGGATGGATGAATAGATGGATGGATGGGATTATGGATGATGGATGGATGGATGGATGGATGGATGAATAGATGGATGGATGGGATTATGGATGATGGATGGATGGAAGTGTAAGGGGATGGAAGGGTGGATAAATGGATGGATGTTTGGGAGGATGGGTTTACAATGATAGATGTGTGGATGGATGGATGGATGGAGGATGTGATTATGGATGATGGATGGATGTAAGTGTAAACAGATGAATGGGTGGATAAGCAGATGGATGTATGAGTGGACGGTAGATGGTCGATGTGTCGATGGATCTAAGGATGAATGGATGGATGGTTTATGGGTGATGAATGTGTTTATGGATGAATGGTTGGATGAACAGATGGGTGGATGGATGACTAGATGGATGGCATAATGAATGTTGGATGGATGTAAGTGTAAGTACATGGAAGGGTGGATAAATGGATGGACCTATGGGTGGATGGAATTATGCATGATCGATGTGTGGATGGATGGATGGATGGATGGACGAATGTGTAGATGGATGGATGAATATACAGATATTATGGGGTTTCTTTTAGCTTTAACTCCTATAATCAGAAAAATCATCAGTCAGACAAATCTGAAGGAGTTTGAGTCTTGGAAAAGTCAGACATTTTTATAAAGAAGAAGAAATAGCAACATCATTAGCATGACAAAACAAATTAGGACAGTAGGGAATAATGAAAGGATCATTACAACAGCAGTAGCCGTTTATGTCAGATCTCTGTCTGAACTAAACATGATGATCAGCCAGTGAATGTAATGTCTCTCAGTCTCGGCTCATCTGAAGTGCTGTAATCTCATATTTGGGCAGAGCTGATCGGCCCACATCAGCTTGGCATCACACACTCTGGCAGAGCTTCAAAGCCTGCTGACGAACAAGATGAAAACAGGGAAAAGCGGGGTCGCATCAGAGCAGAGCCAAACGCTTGCCAGTGTATGTGGGCCATCTGACCAGAGTAAAGAGCGGTTTACATCTCTCACTGCACTGTTCATGCCTAATCTGACGCATTTTCAAGTAAAACAGGATTTTCAATCAGAAAAAAGGGTCACGCACAAAATCTTTTACACTTGAGTAACTTATCAGATCAGGAATAGTCTCCTCAATATGTCAAATGTTTTGGGCGCCTTGTGACATCAGACAGAAACTCTTAGCATGCTTTTAACACTGCTAACATGTTTTAACATGGTATTAGCATGTTGCTAACATTAGGCTTTTTAACTTATATTACTTGTCTTTTACCATCAATGAAATCTTTTTTTAAGGTTAAGTTAATAAAGCAATTGCTTAAATTCTTGCTAAAATGTTGCTAGCTTGTTTTAGAAAGCAGCATATTTAACATAAATAATGTGCGACTAAGAAAATTATACAACGATCTTAGTTTGTTTTAACATGCTAATAATGCTGCTAACTTTTTAGCACATTGCTACCATTTTACTAATATGAATGGATGGTTGAGTGGGTGGGTGTAAGGATGGATTTATGGATGCATAGACGAATGGATGGATGGTTAAGTGGATGGTTGAGTGGAAGGATGGATGGATGGATGGATGGATGGATGGATGGATGGATGGATGGATGGATGGATGGATGGATGGATGGATGGATGGATGGATGGATGGATGGTTGAATGGGTGGATGGATGGATGGATGGTTGAATGGGTGGGTGGGACTATGGATGATGTATGAATATATGTGTGGGTGGATGGATGGATGGATGGATGGATGGATGGTTAAGTGGGTGGATAGGTCTATGAATAGATTTATGGCTGGATATGTGGG